CCTTCCTCTCCTCCTCTCTCTCTCTCTCTCTCTCTCTCTTCTTCAATAAGAGTCTTTTCGTCTTCTTGATTGCAGGTGAAGGTAATGCTGAAGGTGTCGCCGGGGGAAGGTGGAAGTTTCTTCAACGCCGATAAGAGAAAGAAACAGGTGACGTTGGTGGATCCCACGGCCGGCCAATCTTCTTCGGCGGACGATCGCAGGCCGACCGTGGCGGCACCGAAGATGTTCGCCTTCGACGCGATATTCACCGAGGAGGATTCCCAGGTAAACTCGATCCTTCGTCGAGTCTTCGAAATAATTCGAAATCGGCGATCTTTATCATCTCCTCCTTCCTTCCTTCCTTCCTTCCTTTCAGTTTCTCGAGCGAAACGTAGGAACGTTAGGAAACGATAGAGACGAGAGGATCTCGTCTCCGCCGCTGGAGGAGGATCGTTGAGGAAGAGGGAAGGAGCTAGGATAAATAGCGGAAGACGAGGCGGCGAGATCTTGGCCGAGAGGAACTCGAGGAAAGAGAAGGGTAGAAAAGAAATCGAAACGTTGAAAACGTCTACGTGCTCCGCGTTCATCCTAGAGACGCGCGAGACGTCCCTGCCGGGCGCATAACTAAACTAATTTCCCGACCTCTAAACTCTCCATCTCTCGACAGGAAAATCCAACCTCTCCCCCTTCTAACCCGCGGACCCTCGGGCGAGCGTTGCTCCTTGCTTCTTCCTCCTCCTCCATCACCAGCAGAAGAGCACCTCGATTCGTGATTATTTTCGAATTCCCCCGACTGTCCTTCGCCCTTCCACCTCGCGATTATTCTCCCTCGACGAGAGAGAAAAGAGAGGGAACGATATCATCATCAGCATATCGTCGAACGAAGAGAATTCCGCCAATCGTAGTAGTCGTCATCAAACGTTTTCAACGTTTCTTCATCCATCTCTCTCCACTTTCAGAATACATAGGATAGGATAAGCGGAAGAACATCATCGATCGATCCCCATCGATTTTCCAAGACAAGAAAGTATCTAATATATCTTTTGCCCACCGTTTACCACCGGCGAATTTTATTGGCGTGGCATTGATGAACGACATCGCGAGTGTCATCGGGGAATGCATCGGCACCGTTATAATATCGCGGGATGCATATATGTATATACGTATACACACGCACATGTATACGCGCACCGAGATATTTCGATGCTCTCCGGGGACATTATCGAGCGTCGGATTCAAATGAACCCGGAGCTACTCGGTTTTCCCTGCTCTACCCGCTCGCCAACTCTCTCTCTCTCTCTCTCTCTCTACGTTTTGGTTCCTCTCCACGCCGCCCTCTCTATCCCAGCCAGTCCTCTCCAGGGACTAGCCCTTCGTTCCCCGCCGCTGGCGCGTTCCTCTGGCCCTTTGACGCGCCCCCTCTCCGATCCTCCCCCTACACACGCTGTTTAGAAGAACGATGCAAAGCGATCGATCGATTCGATCAAATGTCGTCCGCTTTTGACCGCGACGATTGTCATCCAAAGTCACAATGGGCCGCCTCTCCTCTCCTTTTCCACCCTTTTTCCTCGCATCTATCGGCCTCGTTCCTCTTCCAAACTTGCAAGTCGAATTGCGGGGGAGGGAACTCGCGGAGAGAATACGTCCTGGGGGAGGACGGTCCGTTTTCGTTCTTTTCGACGACCGCCCGTCAAACGCAGACACCCACCTCTCCTCGCCTCGTGAATATTTTAGAGCCGATCCCGGGCCGAAAGTGGTCCGTCTTTAACCAGTCTCGCCTCTCCGATTTTTTCCCGCCAACTTGACTTTTTCATTTTCTATTGATTTGAACGGAAGGGGATGGAATGATCGGGATGGATGCTAGTTTTTGTTAAAGTTCGTCACGCGTAACAAATATCCTCCCTTGCGTTGTTTTCGCGAGGAGAGAATTCTCTACGAGAATTCGTCCATTCGTCGTCTGCGATTAAGAAATCTCGATCGAAAGTTTCGAATAAGCAGCGCGAGGAGCGCGCGTTCCTCGCTCAACAGAAGGCTCTCAAGGAGCATCCTTACGATGCTCGACTCGAATTTTTCTCTCTCCGCATCTCGTCGAGACGAGTTCGATTCGTGGCCGATCGATCGGATTTCCGGCGTTGTGAAATTACACCACGCGGGAAATGTAATTCCCGTGGACCGATAATCTTCGAGCAACGGATACCTTTGCCGATCCGAGTCCGCAAATACGCGAACCGCGAACAGCCGACCGCTATGCGGAGACGCGTCCCAATATGACGCGCAAACAGACCGCGCCAGTTTGATTATGGGTCAGTCGTAAATTACCATGGTGGATGGAAGCCGATCGATCGTTTAACGCCGCCCGCCCGTTAGAACTTGATATCTCGTCGAATAATTATTCGCAACAACTTTCGTCCGACGATATTAGTTTCGCGAACGCGTCTCGAGTCGAAACGTCGTTTCCGACGAAGAGGAAGGCGAAGAAGAAGAAGAAAAATGATGGAAGAAAAATGGTCGGAGAAAAGTTGGCGGATATCGCGACGAGAGGAGAGGAGAAAAAGCGCGTTTCCTCGGGATCGATCGAGTCGTCGATAAATTCGTAATATCGGTGGCTGTCAGGGCCATTCATCGTAGCGAGTCGCCGCCATTACGTAAGAATAGACACGTACGGGTTGCCAGGGAGGATAGTTTCGCTCTCTAAGTTTATTTCCGCGCGGAGGAGGGAAAAAACTCGTGGTGGAGAAAGGAGCCGGTTTCCGAGGAAAGTGTCTTTGAAGTTCCAATTTGTTCGACGCTTCCTCCTCCCTCCTTCCGTACGTCGTTACGCGGACGCGCTTGGATGGTGTCGTTTACGGTGGCGGCAATTTGCCAAGCATAATACTTGCCGCTTCCGAATTTCGTTACGTTTTACGCACGAAGCATTCTGGAGAATCGAAGGGATATAAAATTTCATCGTGCCCCTTCCGTGAAATTAACGTTAAGGGAATCGCAGTTTTCGCGAGACAAAGCGCGCACGAAATCTCGAGAACGAGGAGAATAATCTTCGAGCCGTGCGAGACGATTCTCGACCGCTCTCGTTGGAAGAAAGAAAGGGTGTCGATCTCAGGCGACGACGGTGGAAAAGGGCGCGAAGTGTCCTCGGTCACGGTGGATCCTCGCCTCGGTGTGCAAATGAAACGCGGGCCAAATTAATTGAACATCCATCTCAATTACGGTGGCCCGGTAGATGAATACGAGATCTTATACGCGTGTGTTATACCGCGTGTATCGCCGCTGGCCAACGACAATTCCATCCCAGCGAACGAGCTCGCCAGCTCACAATGCATCCTGCACGGAATAATTCACCGGGGCCATTATGGTCGGTCCAGGACAAGGGCTTTATTATTGACTTACGACTAATAGTCACGCTGTGGATTACGCGCCCGCGTGTACGCGCCTGCGTGCTACCCCTTCATCTCCATTCTCTTCCTCGTTTTCACTTTCCCCGTATCGCGGGAGAGAGAAAGAGAGAGAGCAGAGGCAGTTCCCCTTTCTCTCGCGACGTAGCGTGGCTTCGATCTATCGCTCATTTCCCAGCGAATGCTAATCGAACGGAGGCCGCAAATTCACGCTGCGTGCCTTCTTGTTCTCCTCTCTCCTCTCCTCTCCTCTCCTCTCGGATTTCCAGCTGTCCGACCGACGGATCGAGCTCGGCCGGGACGTCTTCCTCCCCCCCGTCTTCGGTCCGTGGCAGACGGGATTAGCCGTATCGACGCCGGGATTCTTATTAAATCGAAGCAAGTCCGAAACCCCCGACCGATTCTTATTAAGACGAAAGAATCCGTCGATACCTTTACCTCCGCTCCGCTCTAATTTGCCGCCCGGTTTCGATTATGGAGATTACCGAAAAATTATGCTCGACCCCTCCTCTTCCTCTCCGCTCGCCGCGAGATTAAAGCACGGAGGAGGGGGGAGGGGATCGTTCGCGGTTGAATCGTTCTCTCGGAGATGGGTCCTCCTCCGTGTCTTTCTCTCCTCTCTCTCCTCTCTCTCTCTCTCTCTCTCTCTCTCTCTCTCTCTCTCTCTCT